CATATTTGTGAAACAGACAAAAATTAGCCTTCTGAGTTTAGTTATGTTGTGCACTGAACAAGTTTATTTTGTAAAGGTTAATGAGAAATGAATGGCTTTATCAAAACCAGAACCCAGGACTGTGTGTAGATTTGTGTGTTAACTAGGATATGGAAACATATTGATATTCCATGTTGATACAGCAGTCAGCAGCTTATTAGCCTCTAGCCAACTTCCTGAAAAATATTATTATGGTTCTAAATGTTAATGTTGGTTTTGGTATTTCAGTTCCAATATTAACTTGAACTGGGGAATAAGACAAATCATACACCTTTTTAACATTAGGCTAAATGCCCTATGAAAGAGCTCCAGATTATAATAAAAATACACAATATAATAAAATGAGCCTCCATATTAATTTATCTGTGGGTATGCTTGTCTGTTTCTTAGCTCCTAGACATACATTTTTATTCATAGGAGTGGACATTTTGGCCTGCATAAATCTGATTTCAGGATATATTCTTATCTCATAAATTCATCAAGGCAGGGATTTGGTTATATTTACAATTTGTGAAGTGTTGGTCACACTATCAGCTATCACTATAGTCTTCTAATGTATATTTAAGAAAGTTGGTGTGTTTGTTTGTCTATCCCTGTGTCTGTCTGTTTATTCAAGAGCTCCTTCTAAACAGTAAGAGGAAGGACCACCACATTTGGTATACAGCTTCCTCTTATCACAACTTAAAGTGAGGTACGGTTTGTATGTGCCTGGAATGGGATTGTTTCTCATAAAACCATATATAACAGAGACAGCATCATCAGGAAGGCGAGAGGAGCCAGCTGGGCGGGATGTCCTCCATCCCTCATCCCAGACTGCCCCTATCCGGGGCCTTCTCATCTCCCAGGCACTATTTAGGATGGGCTGGGGGGGGAAGGGGCTGAAGCTCCCCCCACTTATATGAGAGCATTGTTGGCTGTTCCCCTTCATCAAGAAGGGAGGAGAAAGTACACAGTTTGCTGAATTCCTCACTTTAGCTGGCTAGTGCAGGGATCAGAGGAATTTAGACCTGCCCCAGCCATGGGATATGCACCCCTCCCCCAGGGCTGTGCTGCTGGAGCTGCAGCTGCAGCTGCCATGGAGAGGCACTTTTCACCTGCCTGAAGTTGCTTCAGTGAGAGGACTTGGGTAGACTTCTCCAAGGGGCAGCCTGCATACTGAACCCCTCAGCCCCAACCCCAGACCAAAGTAATGATTTCAATAGAGAAAAACAAAAAATTAATTGAGTTAAGGACCCGAGCAATGATGGGTATATTTTCTAGTATTGATATATTTACAAAGTATATATGAGATAATATTAAAATTACATGGAGTTTTTGCTTGCTGCATGGATTGTAGATCATAAGATTCTGTTTTTTCAACAAGAGAATAAATGAAATACTTTTTATTTGTCAAAATACACTTCAGACTCATGAATCATTGACTCTCCTGAGAATGACAGCACAGCTATAGTGGTAGCATTATTATATATTGTTTACACTTACGTCCATTTACAGCCAAACTTTTAACTATACAAAAGCTGTGTCTTCACATACTTAATTCTTCATACTTCTAACCACTTGTGCAGTTCCACCCTGGATGCAACAATGGAAATTGGCACCAGCATTTTGACTACCACATAATCTGTCCTTGCTCGACTCAGCTGAAGACTACACATAGTTAAAACACTAGAGGCCTTTTTACTCCAGTGGTCCCAAAATTGCTATCACTGATAGAACTACAGTGATTAATAGAGGGGAAACTTGAGGGAAAATCTGAGTGGAAAGTAAGCCAAAGAAAGTGAGTAAATGGTGTATTTTAAACTTTGATGTACTGAAGATTTAAACAATATGTAACATAACTCATATTTCAGCCCAAAAGTTGTAGTTAAAATTGTTTTAGAGGGACCTTAACTTGAACTTTTAAAAACTGATTAAAAGAATCCAACATTTCTCAGAAAGCCACTTTTAAATATTGTCTTGACATCTTAAAAACCTTTTCCTCAGTTTGTTGTAAGAGTTTTCCTCCTGCCCCGTTTTTGTTAGAAGGTTCTTTTAGACGAACATTATAGCACCACTGACAAACATACTTAGGCCCAGCCCTCCTTCCCTCTCTTTCTCTCTCCGCACACTCCTGCCTACTGCCTCCTTAGTGGTGGTTTGCAGAGCCTGGGGAAGACTGATGGAACTGCGAACTTGACTAGATACAAAGTGCTACCAAAATGCACAGTAAACAAGTTAAAAAAAAAAAACCAAGACAGAAACATAAAATTATTCTGTAAATTCTCTTGGTTTCAGTCATTTTAAGAGTTTTCTTGTAGTAATGGAAAATACAAAATGTGCAGATAAAAATATGATTTTCAAGTTGTCAGTGTCCTTAAAGAAGATCCAGTATGGGAGACTCATCCCTTCTGCTATCACCAAAGTGCCACTGTGGGTGGTGCATTGAGATATGCTGTCTTTAAGGTGAGATGTAAATAGGGTTGCCAGATAGACCCCGCCAAAAAAACTGGACACACTTGATCGTGGGCGGGGGGGGGGACTGGTCAGGAGGGGAGCAGGGCAGGAAGCAGAGCTGGCGGGAGGTCCAGGGGCCACGGGGCTAGACAGGAGGAAGGGGGGGGCCGAGAAGCAGAGCTGGGGGGAGGGTCAGGGGCTGCGGGGCTCGATGGGAGAAGAGGGGGGCCCGGAGGAAGGGGGGCGGGAAGTAGACCTGGCAGGGAGGAGTGCAGCCACTGGCCGCAGCCGGAGTCTTTTGGGCCGCGCCCCCAGCAGGCACTCTCTTTAGTTGTGAGGAGAAGCCGGGCAGGGGCGGGGGAGAGGGTGGGAGTCACTCCTCCCTCCTGGCTTCTGCATGGAGACAGAGGTTCCCAGCTGAGAGGGGGGGCCATGATTGGCGCTGGGAGCCTCTGGTTGCATGCAAAAGCCAGGCGGGGTGAGGGAGCCCCTGCCCCCGCCCCGCCCCACCTGGCTTTTGTGTGCGACCACAGGGCTCCCAGCACCAATCACGGCCCCTCCTCCCAGTCGCTCCCCGCCCCCGCCAGGCTTCCGTCTGGCGCCCAGCCAGGAATTCAGAAGATACCAGACATTACACATGTCTGGTATTTTCTGAATTTTTCTCCTGGACAGACGGTGCAAATACCGGACTGTCCAGTAGAAAACCGGACAACTGGCAACCCTAGAAATGATGAGCATATCTGTCTCCACAGTTGGTTGCCAATGTGGAGGAGAACTATTGCATGGCCCTTCTAAAAAGGAGGAGGAAATAACCTTGATTTGCAGGATGCCCATCAACATTCTTTCTTTCACTAATGACTCATATGTTGTAGTTCTAATTCAGACAATAAATAAATAAATTAAATTAAATTAAAATAAAAAAATCACATCAATAGGAATTTTTCCTGATTCTGAATTGAGTAAGGTCTGCAAGATTTGGCCTATGTTAGAGGAAATTTGAGGAGCACAATATACTCTTTTCAGATATCCAAGGCTGTGTCTGAACTATTCTTGAGTGGATAATGACTGTCATATTTCCTGTGTTCACTATGAGTATCCAGTTGCATAATAAGAAACTGAATACAGAAGATACTATACAAAACTAAGTAAGTCCTCAGAAGTTGAGGATGCTTAGGATTTTGCAGAATGACACACTTTATTTTTGGGCCCTTGCTCTTGGTCATTAATCCAAACTTAAGACTTCTGAAAGGCATTTTTAAAGTGCTTGGAATCACTGGGATACTGGTTGATCAATTAAATACTTAATCCCTTCACCGCTGGGAATCAACAAGGCTCAATAACAGCTGCTCTGCAGTTCTTACAGCAGTGTATATTGCTTATTCTTGGCCAGGCTTTTGTAGACCACCAGTGTCAGAGTTCTTTATTTAATCCTATCAGCATATCATAAATCTGCCTTGAGCTATGGCTGTTTTGAAATTCTATGTTATGTATAGAACTATCACTCTTCTATCCATGAGCAATATTAATATGTCCTTTCTTGTCTCTCTGATTCGCATGTAATCATTTTAGAAAAGCAAACATTAGAAATAACATTCAGAATGTTAGTTCAGCCTCTTAGAAAGAACATGCAACTGTTTTGCCAAATATATTGAGGCAAAAATCCATTAAAATAATGAATTCAAAAGCACTTAATAAACTATCAGGGCAAAATGAATGAGACATTTTCTCTTGAATTATACTTAATATTACAATATAGGCAATAAGTGTATTGTTTCTTGATTGGCTGATGCATTTTCCAGAATAGTACCCAAAGTATGTATCTGCTTGTTACACACACTATGGTTCTGCTCCTGTGCCCATTGCAGTCAATAGCAAAGTTCTTATTGATTCTAGATCAGATTCTTATACTGCACCCTTCACTGTAGCATGTGAATGCATTTTAAAGGCCTAATTCCCTACTACTGTCACTTTTACACTAGTATAATTCCAGGGACCTCAGTGGAATTCATATCAAATTTTGAGCAGGTAGAGAGTAAAACCCTTTATTCTTAAAGGTTGGTCTTTTCACATTTCTCATCACAAAATTCTCTGACAAACTTTATGTTGTATGATTGCTTATATAAGGATTAATGTATACATGAGTTATTCTGGGATAGCTATTCCAGAATAACACTGAGTATGGAAACTCGGGGACAGTGTCTATCCTGCACCCCTTTTCCAGAAAAGGGATGCAGATGAGACAAGTCGGAATTGCAAATGACGCGGGGGATTTAAATATCCCCCGCTTCATTTGTATAAACATGGCTGCCGCTTTTTTCCGGCTCGGGGCTTTAAATCAGGAATAAGGGACCTTTCGGAAAAGGCTTTATTTTCCGAACGATCCCATCTAGACTGGCGCTTTTCTCCGGCAAAGCCCCGAGCCGGAAAAAAGTGGCAGCCATGTTCATACAAATGAAGCGGGGGATATTTAAATCCCCCGCTTCATTTGCAATTCCGACTTGTCTTATCTGCATCCCTTTTCCGGAAAAGGGGTGCAGTGTACACACAGCCTTACTCTGGCTTTTCATTTGCCTTTTGGTATTTGAGTCACATTTTCAGTCTTTTTTTCCAAAACAGAAAGATCTAAGAAACTTTAAAATTAAAGCTCCAGCAATTAATGCACTAATAAACCTACCAGATAGTATGAGACTTGTGACAACATTTCAAGAGTTAGCAACACTTGATGTAGAATGGACAAGTTAAAGAGCTTGTCCATCAGCTCCCTTGACTCCAGGTTAAATGCTCTAGCACAGCCTCCAGAGCTTTCTTCTCAGAGAACACAGATAGAGCATTGGCATATTATGGAGTACGAAGGAGTTGACATGCAAAGAGGCACATGTGGTTGCAGGAAAAGTATGTGTTTTATTTGCAGTAGCTCAGATGTGAAACCTACTTGCAACAGCATTACTTCTGGGTGTAGAGATTTCAACTATAAGCCTTCCAGCTGTGTGAACTCCATTTGACCAACACAATGGTTTCACACCAGTGTAACCCTCACAGACTTTAATATAATTACTCCTGACTTACATCAGCATAAATTAGTTCAGGATCAGCCCTTTATTATTTGAAAAAATCTAGAGCTGGGTGTAGCAGTTGCATTCTTCTTGGTTAGCTCTTCTCATGTGTATATAAATGCAAGTCAAGCTGTCAGGATTATGGACTAATTACTTGTCAAATTTCCGTTTAGTCAGAACTTGATTTATTTATAAAGTCATCCATGGGTTTTATGTTTGTATAACTTTTTTATAATTGGCAAATCTATATTTTGCAAATCTCCTATGTTATCTCTGAATGCTTTCTCTTTAATAACAGATGGGGTGGATTTTTTATTTTAAATTATCATCTTTTTCAAATTCTTTGTAAAGTAAAATGAGCGAGACGAATATTAAGGTTTTTTAAAATGATACTACAGTATAGCTGGTTACCTCTATATAATCCACATCTCATTACATCTGATGGTGTAAAAGCCATTGTTCTAAATACAGTAAATACTCGTTTAACATGTGCCTGCTTAACATGTTTTCGCAATAGCACAATTTTTTTAGGGAACATTTTTCGAATAACACACGAAAATAATCAAGTGGCAGACTACTTTACATGGCGGTATAAATTGGTGAAAACAATGGTAATACGCACTAGTGGATGAATATACGTGGTCACAGCGTTCCTCCGCTCACTCACGTGTTTATCTTTGTGTTTTGACAAACCACAGTGACTTGAGTTGCTAGATATCTAATGTTGATGTTGATGACCCAGCACCAACAAAAAAGTGACTTTGCCATCACCAGCTGAAACTTCATCACCACCTTTTCCATTATTTTTAATGGGAAAATTGATTCCGCATAGCATATTTTCGCTGAGTACGAACATTTTCAGAAACACATCTATAGTGTTAAATGAGGAATTACTGTACATCTAATCCCAGATTTTCATCTAAAATTTGCAAATAAGTATAATTTATATCATGGGTTCAATGAAATCTCTGGATCTGAAAGATTCTGAACTTTGAAATGTTTTGAATCTGGATCTGAATTTTGTAACTGGAATCTCATTCAAATTTCCTCAAACCTATGGATACAGAAAGACAAATGTATTGCAGCAGAGTGACCATATGCAATGAATTGCAGGATCTGGACTTCATTTCTTGTGCATCATTTCTTGTGAAAAGCAAACTTACTTTTAAATTGGTATGAGTTTGTAGTGAAAATAAAAATAAAAAATGGGTATATGGCCTATTTTCTTTCCCAAACCAATGGTTTTCAATTGTCTTCAAATGTAATTGATCATTAATACAAACATTTCTAAACATGGCAACACAAACACACAATCGTAGTGCTTTCACTGTAAATCAGAAACTAATGTTTTTGTTAAACTATGATTTGTGATTTAATATACGCAGAATTTTTTTTGTATTTGATTTTGTTCAAAAATGTTTTTAACGTGTCTGAACAGCAGATGGCTATCAGAAAGAGTCTGTATTTAGCTTTGCACTTTCCACTCTGCATTCCTTTACTATTCATAGCACAGCACTCATACTTATCTTAAGTATACATAAAAGGAGGCAGTTTCATTTGCAGCTGCAGTTCCCCTAGAATGCTTTGAGTATTTACAGTACCATTTGTGACAAATCTTTTTTAAATGTTGAGGACCATTTGTTAGAAATAGCAGACAGAGTTCTGTCTAAACTTAGTTATACAACCCCAATGAAATGAGTGGGATTGCTATAGTGTAACTAAGAGGAGAAACTTCAGGGGGTAGCCGAGTTAGTCTGCACAGGAGGAGAAAGTGGCCCTGTGTTCTTAATGAGGGGCCACATCTTGCAATCACACCCAGGCATTTGAACCCCTCTGCTGGTGCAGAGCTAGCTGGGCTCTGAAGGACTGAGCATCTGCTCCCATAGAGCTAATTGTATGATCAGGACTTTTAAGTACTAAAGAAAGTCATAGAACAAAACATTTACATGATTGTTATCAAATTGATTGTGTATATTTATTAGATTGAATTTACCTCTAGCACATTAATGCCTTTAAATCAAGGGCAGCTACATAAGAATGACTTTGATTCCTTTGAACTTTTATTACTGAACATCATTTTGCTTCTATTGTTGGGAGAAAGCCAGGATATTTAAATAAATGAACTGAGATTAAAAAACAAAGTGTTAAAAAATTTCTATCAAAATAAGTTGACTCAGTGTTAGTAGAAAGATGGCATATTTTGAAACATTGCATTTTCAAAACACTATTTAATGTTTATTCTGTTGTTCAGTAGTCCCTTAAATACATTTTAATGGAACATTTGAAAGCAATTTTAGAAATGAATATGAATTCAAAATGTTTTGCCAAAAATTATATTGCAGACCAAATGCATGCTGCTCATTCATACTTGGACATCATCTAAGAAAGCTGAAGTTAATATTATATGATGATGTAACTAATAAAAATATGGCATTTTTCTGTTATGTAAATTAAAATTCCTTAAAACTGATGGACTAATGTCAGTGGCTCCTTTCATTATTCATCTCATGTATACATATTACAAAAGTAAATCCCATTTATTGGTATTTTATACATGCTTTATACTTGGTATCTTATCAGAGAGCAATATATAAAATACTTTTCATTTGTTATGATTGCCATAAACTTTGTTTTGTTTAAAAAGCAGAGGTCTCCAACACACACGCAGCTGGAGGAAGGTGGTTTTACATTTCACATCAAACAATAAAACTCAACATGCCAGAAATACATGCAAAGTTTTGTTCTTATCTCCGTTGTAAATGCAAACGAACAACTCCACATGCATGGCTGCATTGCAAAGCATTGTTTGAATTACATTAGGACTAATGTCATCTCACCAATAACAATTAACAAGACTTTAATCCATTCCCTCTGAGCTTTTCATTTCAACAACCAAAATGCCATCATGGCAAAAGAGTGCAGACAAATCTTTTTTCTTGACTCCATTAGGTAATTTGTATTGTCTTATAAAGTTTCTGGATATGAAACCATGTTCATCCATCCTAGGTCCATGCTGAGCTTTGATCAGGAGCCAGCCTTCAAAAGTCTGAATGATGATATCTTCAGGACGGAACTGCACAACATCCAATAAGACTTGAAAACTGGATTTGCCTTCTTCTGTGCTATTCTCTGCTGCAGCTGTAATTGTTGTTGCACGTCTGTTTTTCACCTCAGCTGTGGATGAGCCTGGCAATGCATATAAAAAGTGATCCAACTTGCATGCTTCCAGATCTTGGACAGCAAACTGCTCTTGATAACGTACAGGAGTTTCCACCCAGTGTCTTGTAATTACTCCTTCCATTGCTGAGAGAGAAATATGAGTTTCTGCTTTCTGATAGCCAGAGAAAGCAATAGAGTCAGATTGGCGTAGTGAGCTCCTTCCAGTTGCATGCCTACTCCCAGACTAATTTATCAGTTGATGTAGCCTTTCATTTTTAGCACTGGCAGAGCTTAACACTTAATTGGACGTGATTCATGTTCATTTTTATACATTGACAATACAGTACTATTTATAGGACATGTGTCTTCAGTGGCTTTGACCATTTTTATGCATACACTAAGCAGTATAAATGAAATTTTATTGTACATTTTGTTCTTTTCACATTAGCCTGTTTGTTGTTCTGACTAAATAAGGTATTTTAAAGGTTCTTTTAATTGCCTAAAAAGGAGTTTAGTGTTCTGTTTCTCAAGGGAAACTACCACAGAAGCTGTAAAAGTTATATTTCTTCTCATTGAAATAAGGAAATTATTTGGGGCAGGAGGACATGAGCTGTTTGAGAGTGTGAGAAAAACGAAGTAGGGTGTGGTTTCACTAGAAAGTTATCAGGTGCCTCTAAAGTTGTGGCAGAGGTTTTGCAGGAACCAAACCATGGGTGCTCCTGAGAAAGTTATTTGTGGTCTGTAGGAACAACTGAAAGGTAACTGAGATGCAGTTAAGGATCTTGGTGGTACAGTGGGAGAGACCTGTGATTTGAGTCTGACAGTGTGATGAAATATGAGTCTGCAATTCCAGACTATAGCTCAGACTCAAAAGACTGAGGCCTAGTCTATACTAACCCCACCATTGATCTAATCTTCATGACTTCAGTGTAGCTGAAGTAGATGTACTTATCAGAGTGTCTTGCATGCAGGACGGTCAACGGGCTGCTCTCCCATCAACACCAGCTACTCTTCTAAACAGACGTGATAAATCAATGGCTGGTTGATTGATCTCTGCAGTATCAATCCCCAGTACTGTGGAAACAAGCTCTCAATGAGCCCTGAAATCTCATAGTAAAAATGACAGTTGAAATAACTGGATGTCCTGAGTTTTGGTGAAATTGTGAAAATGGCTAACTTTTTTCTGATAGACTCATAGACTTTAAGGCCAGAAAGGATTAGCATGGTCATCTAGTCTGACCTCCTGCAATTGCCAGCTACCGAACCTCACCCATCCACTTCTGTAATACACCCATAATCTCTGGCTGAATTACTGAAGTCCTCAAATCATGATTTAAGGATCATCAAACTACAGAGAATCTACAATTTAAACAGGCAAGTGACCTGTGTCCTATATGGCAGCCAATCTGATCTAGGGAAAAATTCTTTCCTTACCCCAGCTATGGTGATCATTTAGACCTGAGCTTGTGGGGGAGACCCACCAGCCAGACATTTGGGAAAGAATTCTTTGTAGTAACTCAGAGTTCTCTTCACCTAGTGTTCCATCATCAGCTGTTGTGGATATTTGCTACTAGCTGAGACTGTTGTGGGCAGTCTCATCACACTATCCCCTGCATAAATTTATCAGGCACAGTCTTTAAACCAGTTAACTTTTTTTTTTGCCCTCACTGTGTCTCTTGGAAGACTGTTCCAGAACATCACTCCTCTGATGGTTAGAAATCTTGGCCTAATTTCAAGCCTAAAGTTATTGATGGCCTGTTTATATCCACATTCCTGTATCCACACTGGCGCTTAACTTAAATAACTTCTTTTCCTCCCTGGTATCTATCCCTCTGATGTATTTATAGAAAGCAGTCATATCTCCCCTCAGCTTTTGTTTGGTTAGACTAAACCTGTCAAGCTCTTTTAGTCTCCTCGCATAAAGTAGGTTTTCCACTCCTCTGATCATCCTGGTAGCCTTTCTCTGCACCTGTTCCAGTTTGAATTGATCTTTTGTAAATATGTAGTGTCCTGCATGGATACACAACTCATGTCCACAGATGTAGGTATAAAGTGGATATTCATGGAACTGCAGGGCTTCAGTAACAATGAGCAAGACTAGCATGGCCATGGCCAGTGAGGCTTTGTTTGCACTACGGATTTTTTTTGGAAAAACGACTGTTTTTCTAAAAAAACTCACAGAGCATCCACTGCCCAAGTGCGTTTTTGTGCAAAAAAATCAAAAGAATAGAGGGGTTTTTTCAGCATAGGTATTACTCCTTCTATGAGGAAGAACGTTTTTTCGCGAAAGAGCTCTTTTGTTAAAAGGGGTGTGTGGACAGGGAAGATGGGTTTTTTGCACAGAAAGAGGAAAAAGTACAGGTGCCCGTTCTGTGCATAGCAATCAGAGGTTACTTTCAAGAGAGCATCCATGCAGTCTGGACTCTCTCTTTCGCAAAAGCACATCACTTTTTTTAATGCACTTTTGCAGAGTGGATGCGCTCTTGCGCAAGAAGTTGTTGCAGAAGATCTCTTTCGATAAAAGCTTCTTGTGCAAGAAGCCTGCAGTCTAGACGTAGCCTGGCTGGGCCAGAAACCACAGCAGCAAAAGCAGCAGCATGTCAGGCAAACACCAGACTCACTAGCAGCTGTCCCTGGTCATGCTAGTTTGTGCAGGTGGCTCACACACTCTCTTAACAGGAGCATTTTCCATGCAGCAGTCTGTGACTCCTGTCTGGGAGTGTGAGAACTGATTGTGCACAGCAGCATGAGCAGGGACAGCTGCTGTTGAGTCTGGCGCCTGCTCCAGTGGGAAGGGATGGGGCAGCATAACCATGCCAGAAGAGCTGTCTTCATGGGGCCTTGGCTCCTCAAGCAGTGGCCTGGCATGCCTGCACTGTCACTGCTGCAGTTCCTGGCTCAGTCACTGGACATGGCCCTGCTGGTCATTCATTGTCTCTAGTACCCTGCATTCCGTGTATATCCACATCTGCGGATATGAATTGTGTATGTGCACACAGGTTGGTGACAGACTTTGAGGAGCCCTGGCAATGTGACAGGGGGTTGGCTCCAGCCCCCAAAAGGGGTTAGGGTTAGGAGCAGCCAGCCCTTAGTGCTGCCTGAATTGTTCCATGCATGGCTCTGATGGTGATTTAAAGGGCCCAGAGCTGCTGGCCCTTTTTAATTGCTGGGCCCTGGGGCAACTGCCCCGTTTGCTTCCCTCTCCCCTTCCCCTTTGGCAGCCCTGTTCGCATATGGTTTTCTGCACACAGTATTCCAGATGAGGTCTCACCTATGCCTCGTATTATGATACTGACACATCCCTGTCTCTATTGGCACTATCTCACCAGAGCCATCTTAGACTGCATTCGATTTTTTTCATGGCTGCATCCCTTTGGTAACTCATAGTCATCCTATGATCAACTATTACATTCTGGTCTTTCTCCTCCTCTGTTGCTTCCAACTGATAAATCCCCAGTTCATAGCAAAAAATCTTGTTGCTCCTATATGCATGACCTTGCACTTTGCACTATTAAATGTCATTCCATTTCTATTATTCCAGGTTTCAGGGTTATTCAGACCTTCTTGTATGATATAGAGTTCTCCTCCATATTGGCAATACCTCCTAACTTTGCATCATCTGTACATTTTATTAGCACAATCCCAGTTTTTGTGCCAATATCATTAATAAAAATGCTAAATAAGATTGTTCCAAGACTGATCCCTGACGAACTCCACTAGTAACCTCCCTCCAGCCTGACAGTTCACCTTTCAGGTACTATGCCTGTTAACCAGTTCCTTATCAACTTTTAGTTCTCATATTAATACCCATCATCTCCAATTTAACTAATAGTTTCCTATCTGGAACTGTATCACATTCCTTACTGAAATGCAGGTGGATCAGATCTACTGCTTTTCCTTTGTCTAAAAAATCAGTTATCTTCTCAAAGAAGATCCGGTAGGTCTGGCACAGTGTTTCTTAAACTGTGTTTTGCGGCACACTGGTGTACCGCGGAGAACAACAGAGTTCAAAATGGCCACTCTTAAAGGGGCAGGCGACCTTTTTTTTTGGCCCAATAACTTTCCCCCCGACCCTTTTTCCCCTCTGACCTTTTTTTTTTCCTAAACAAAAAGTCCTTGGTATTCCTCATAAAAAATATTATTTGGTGTTCCTTGGTCTTAAAAAGTTTAAGAAACACGGTCTGGCACAATCTCCCTTTTGTGAAACCATGTTGTATTTTAATCTCATTTACCATTTACCCTTGTGGGTTTAATGACTTTCTCTTTCAACATTTGTTCCAACATCTTGCATAAAACTGAGGTCAAACTAACAGGCTTGTAGTTTTTTGCTTTCTTAAAAAATAGATGTGATATTAGCAGTTCTCCAGTCACAGGGTAAAACTGAGTTTACAGGATCATTAAAAATCCTTGCTAGTGTGCTTGCAATTCCATGTTCCAGTATTATTCTTGGACAGGGATTATCCAGCCTCTCTGATTTGTATCATTATGCTATTTGAGTTTTACTTTCACCTCGGATGTGGTAATTTCTACCTCCATATCCTCATTTCCATTAGCCCAATGACACTATCCCTAAAGTCTTCATTACTCTTATTAAAAACAAAGGCAGAGTATTTGTGGAGATATTGGGCCAGGCTTAGATTAGCTTTAATCTTCACCTCACCATCAGTGTTTAGTAGTCCCACTTCTTTTGCTGTTTTCTTTTTATTTATATGGCAATAGAACCTTTTAGTATTGGTTTTAACTTCTTTTGCAAGGTTCAACTCTGCTTGGCTTTTTTCAGTTCTCACTTTTTCCCTATCCTTTTTGACCTCCAAGAGGTAGGTTCTTGGCAGAGTTCAACACTTTAGATGTGTTAACAGTTAAAGAGACCATCAACTGTCAGGATTAGTGTTAGCCCGTTGGTCCAAATTGCAGCATAGCAATGCTCCAGAAGGCCCAGATGCAAGAAAAGTTTGGGGCCTCATTCTAGATTCAAAGCTTGTTTCTCTCCAGTTCCTCATAGCTCCAGATCAGCCCCACTGAGGGTGGGTATGTTTACACTGCAGAGTTTTGTCAGAAAAACAGCTATTTTTCCAGCAAAACCCTAGTTACGTTCACGCTGCAATCGCATTCTTCCAAAAGTAAATTGAAAGAACAGAAGGGTTTTCCTGGCATTGGCAATCCTCTTTCTACAAGGAAGAAGCCTTTTTCCGAAAGAGCTCTTTTGGAAAAAGGCGTGTGACGATGGGGAAGAGAGAAT